TCCCTCTGCCTCTGCCTGCCACTCTGTCTGCCTGTGCTCGCTCTTGCTTCTCTCTCTATGTCAAATAAATAAATAAAATATTAAAAAAAATAGATTAGTGATCTGCTCTTGATAAGACATTGTAAATAAAGTTTTTTTTCTTTACCTTTAATGTAATCTGCCTAGAAACACAAAGGTTCTGTTTGCCTTTATTGGATCTTTGATTATAAAAAAAGAAAAAACCTGAATCTTTTTAATGTTAAAAGAGCCAAAATTTTTTTTATAACTCTTTAACTTTCTGTATTTGCCTGCAGAGTCTTGTCACTTTGATAACTAGATAACTAAGTATTGTGAAAGTGACCTATGATTCTGTTTGATCAAGTGCTTTAAAACCTTTTGATATTTTTCGATGAACCTCCCCCAAATCAAATCCGAAATAGTTCTTTTGGCCTTGACCTAGCTTTGGGTTATTTCAGAAGTTTTCCAGAACACATCAAAGAATTTGTTCCCTCTCCTTTTAAAAAGGGAGATAGCAAACTAATTAGGTTTATTTGATATATTAAATTACATGGGGAGCATTGTCAAATAAGTAATACTAAGCCTTCTTTATATTATGTCTGTATACATGTTCCAGAAATTATGTAATATTCCTGGAAATCTGATGTGACCTAGTATAATGTCAGGGCTTATAATTCTAATTACTATCTTAAAATGTATGTCCCCAAAATAACCACATGTCTTTGTCAATTGCATTACAATGAACTCTCATCAGATCTTTACCCAGGTCATTTTAAAGTCTTTTATCATTTATCAGTAGTTATTGCTGTACTCAGAGACTTCTACAAAATTTCCTGCAACTGTGCTTTATCTTCAGAGGAATTCGTGGAAGGGAATCTGACAAGTACTCTCAAATACAGATTTCTGAAAACGTTCCGATCATACAACTGAACTGGTAAGAACAAAGACTGCCCTTGAACGTCTTTGGAAGGGACTAAGGGCAGGTCCTCCTCACCAACCAGATGACAGCCAAACTTCAAGGGCTTAAACCTTGGATGTGCATCTTGGAGCTGGAGAAGGCTCCACCTGACATGGATCCTACACAGCCCAGGAGACCGCCCAACCACGTGATGAGGAAGAGAAGTAGCCACATCGAGGTAGACTGCTTCCTCCAAGTGGCCTGATCGAGACCTCACGCTTTAACTGAATAGGAAAACCTTTCTTCTTTTTCACTCCGGCACTGGCCTGGAAAGATGACATCATCAGTGTCTCTTGGGCCATTGCCGAGGGAGATAACCTTGGCCTTTCAGACTGCTGGATTTGACATCCAAAACTCCTTATCTGTCCATTCACCCCGCCACTTTAGTGAAAGTGGTTTGGGCCCTGTCGGGTTTGTCCTTTGTCTTTGGTAGTTATCACTGTCCGTGGGCCTATGAATGTGTAGAAGGCTGGGACACAGCCAGGCAATGCCTCTCAGGGTTTCTCACCTCACTGGGCCCCCAACTTTTTACAAGTGGAATTAGACATCTCATTGGTTGACTCTCTGGATTTACATCTTCCAGTTAGAAAAGACCTACTAGGAGACATTCACAACTCAGGATTTGCTCCCTTTGACAGAGCCATACTTTCCTGGTTAGGAGGAAACATAAATAAGAATATGATTGGGGTGTCTGTGGGGGCTCCGTTGGTTAGGCGTCTGTCTTCGTCTTGGGGTCTTGGGATCGAGCTCCCCATTGGGCTCCCAGCTCAGTGGAGAGCCTGTTTCTCCAGCTCCCTCTGCTGCTCCCCCTGCTTGTGCTCTCTCTCCCTTTCAAATAAATAAATAAAATCTGGAAAAAAACAAAAAAAGAATATGATCAGAAACCTCTCCTTAACTCTTAAAGGAGTTAACTCTTAACTCCTTAACTCTTACTCACTAAGACAATAGCGGCCCGACAAATCCTTCCAGCTCTCCAGACGAAACTGTTCTTTATAGTAGGATAGCCTCCGAGCAAAGAGGTGTCTGAGCTGTGGCCAACCCCACTTGCTGCACCGGGATTGACTCTTCTGGGGAAGTTGAAACTCAAGGGCACAGGATCGCGGGGTGTCCCTTTGACTTATTTGATTCTCATTGGTTTGGGTCTGAAGTGTACTCCAGACATTAGGGATTATCCTGTTTATAATAATCACAATAACCTCCCCGGTGCATTGTGCTCTCTCTAAAGCTTTAAATGCATGTTCCCAGCTGCTGACCACCCAGCATGTGATCTCCTGAAGACTGGACTGTCAGAAAAACAAAGAAGAGGACAATGAGCTTAAAAATTATGAACTTTGGGACACCTGTTGACTCAGTCGGTGGAGTATGCAACTTTTTTTTTTTTAAACATGAGATTCTTGGGGCGCCTAGGTGGCTCAGTGGGTTAAAGCCTCTGCCTTCGGCTCAGGTCATGATCCCAGGGTCTTGGGATCGAGCCCCGCATCAGGCTCTCTGCTCTGTGGGGAGCCTTCTTCGTCCTCTTTCTTTGCCTGCCTCTCTGCCTACTTGTGATCTCTGTCTGTCAAATAAATAAAATCTTTAAAAAAAAAAAAAAGCATGAGATTCTTGATGTCTGGGTTCTGAGTTCAAGCCCTATGCTGGGTGTAGACATTAGTTAAAAACAATTGTGAACCTGAAGTTGTAACCTATGACTAACCATAGTCGTAGAATGCCTTACATTTTGATCACCTGTCTCAGTTAAGCTTAGAATCTAATCAAAAGGAGATATTGCTAAAAAGAAAATCACAGGCCCCACATGGAGTCACTTATGTTAAGTCCCCACATCAGCAAACCAAGACTTAATACCTAACCTCTTTGTCATTTCAATCCCCCCAGGAGTGACTTCTAACCAGTCAACCTGGAAGTCCCTGAGCAGCACTAGGAAATTTACAGATAGGCGCCTCCTGTGCCCCTTAGAAGGGAGACCTTACCTAAAACAATACCCTCTTCGCTGGTAATTCCCTCCCCTTCCCCTCCTCTCTGCCTTAACAAACCTTTCTTTTCTACAGCTGCACAGAGCTTTTTTCTGTTTGCTAGGTGAGATGCTGTTGGATTCATGAACTGTTCATAAAGCCAATTTGATTTTTTAAATTACTCAGTGAAATTTTTATTAACGTCGCCAGTCCACAGTTGAGGAAAAGGAAACTGTCAGAGAAATAAAATAAGTTGCCGAAAATCACCCAGACCAAAGTTGGCAGCATCTCGCGCTAGGGCAAGGAACAAGAGGTGGGGTCAGCATCTTGCCAGGCTTCCCAGAACCCGCTGGGATTCCCCAGAACCTCTCCAAACCTCAAAGGACCTGCTAGTTTCCAGGCCACCCCAAATGATCCCTGCCCTGCCCCCTTTCTTGGTTCCTTAGAGAGCAACTCTGGGGAGAAAAGGTGGCAAAAGGTGGGGTGCAGGAACCCAACTTTAAGAGGCTCCTTAAGAGAGCGTGACCTCTCAGACAAGATTTGTAGGGAGCAGAGGAAGGAAGAGGGGTGTGGCCTGTGGAGATGATTTCTGGGAAGTGGTGGGAGCAGCAGGGGAGGGAGAGGGTGGCTGACTCGGTTTCATCTTTGAGGACACAAAGGAAGCAGGGGCCAGGGCTGGTGCAGAGAAATCAATCACTGGATAGCCTGGGCCAAGGGTTGGGGGTGGGTGTTGGAATCCCAGCCCCCAGCTAAGCATAAGAGGGGTGGGTGGATGTCCGTGCAAATGGAAAGAAGCCTCAGTGCAGGGCTGCAAGAGGAATTTGAAGCCAGCCCCGCACCCTCCCCCTGCCCAGGACAAAAGTGCACACAGACACAGGAAGGATCTAGATGCGTTTAAGGTCAACAGGTCCCCAAGCTAAGGGGATCTGGAGGCAGTCTCTGTCCAAGAGGCTAAAAAGCTTGCAAACACAGGACCGGGTGCCCAGGCCAGAGATACCAGAGGGAAAACCATGGAAAGATCTGGAAGGATAGGTGGATGATGTGTAGTTGAGGGGGTGTTGTAGGTGGTCTGGGCTTCTCACTGCAGGGAGTGGATGGAGGCTGGGGGAGGGGGGATCTGGGGTAGAGACTCCAAGGTCCTTGATCCTTCCTGCGAGGGCAGTAGTTTGTCAGGCACCAAGTCTCTAAGCATAAAAATTATTTGAAACAGAACACCTTTCAGGCAGGAAGGAACTCACATGTTGCCACAGTTCTCGACCCTATGGGCCTCATACCCAGGAGGGTTGGTTCATTTCTACCATCAGCTGGCTGGTGTGGGTGTTAGATTTTTGACCTTTGAGATGCCCACACTAACACCTTTGCAGGCCCCAAAAGAAGAGAAGAGGTTAGGCCCTGTGGGTCCCTAACTTTGCCCCAGTGCTGTCTCCCCTGATGTTGCCCCCTGGTACCCTGCTCCGTACAGTCAGCTGGGAGGGCCTGCTGTGCTTTTAGCAACCCTGGGACCGCACATAAAGCCGTCAACAGCGCCCTCTAGTTTCGTGACAGTCCTGCCTTCTTCCCTGGAAGTAGGGTGACACCCTGAGAGCTCCTGGGGCCCCTCTTTGGGGCTGGGGAAGTGATTTCCACCCCCGCCCGGAATTCTCTGGCATAGGTACACGGAGACACAGAAGCCAGTGGCATGGACTGTTTATTATAATAACGCTCCCCATGTGAGGCAGAGAAGAGGGGGGCTGTGCCAGGAGGGATAGTCAGCAGGTAGATGTGAGCAGGAAAGTGTGGAGAGCCTCCACAGCCACTAGGGAAGTGACAATCTTGGTAAAATATACTCAGAGAGAGAGATAGAGAGGGAGGGAGATGGGGGAATCCAGCCACCAGAAGCAGGCTGGGGAGGAAGGGAAACACGATGGGCTGGGAAGGTGGATGCTGGAGGGCTTGGCGCTGGAGAAAACCTTGGCATCCGGGGCCACTAGCTGGAGCCCATTCCATCAGCAGAGACCGCAGAGCCCAGAGCAACAAGGAGGCCCCTGCTCTGGGGCCAGAAGCCCCACAGTGGTGGGGTGCTGGGGGTGGTGGGAGCCAGGCTCCTCGGGGATCCTCTATCCCCACATGGTGGTCTGCAGCCACTATGGGGAGAAAAGCAGATCCAAGGATGGGAGAGGGCATGGGCAGGATGGCTGGGGAGCCATGAGTTGGGGGTGGGTGCCAGAAGATCCCTTCCATGTACCTGGTTCAGATTCAAGCGAATATAGCCAGTATTCTCGGGGTCCATGGATAGAAAGTATGCTGTTTCACAGAGGAGGCAAGGGGAAGGGTTTGGGAGCTGAGTCTGTGGTTGGTAAGACCCATTTCCCAAGAGGCAGGATGAAAGGGAGGAAGAAGCTGTTCCTTGCTGCTTGCCAGGTAACCCTTTGCCCAGAAAGGGATTAAGGAGAACATCTCACGGCCTTGCCATGAGCCATATGCAAACCCCTATATTCAGGACCTCCACCCTAGGAGGGCAATACTATTGTTGCCCACATTTTATAGATGAGAACAGAGGACAGAGGCACAGAGACATAAATGACTTGCTCAAGGCACAGAGCCACCAACTGGCAGAGCTGGGATTTGAACCCATATCATCTGTGCTCTTAAGATGGCGTGGTCTGGGAGCCCTGCTACTCGTGTGGGTGTGTAGGAGACGGCCCTTGGTCCTTAGCCCAGGGTGGGGAGCGGGCAGAGGACTCACTGAACATGGCCTTCAGCCTCAGGAAACAGCTGATGAAGCTGTCAAAATCCACAATCATGTCGTCGTTTGCATACCTGGCCACCAGCACCTGCGTCACCTTGTTATTCAGTTTGATGCCTGGGAGGGAGGGGAGTGCGGAGGGGGAGTCCAGCCCTCTGGCTGCTGCTTCCTCCCTCCTTGCCCCCAAACCCTCTCCTGACCCCCTGCTAACCTGCCTTCTCGAGTGCCAAGCGCATCTCATAGGAGTTCAAGGTGCCCGAGTTGTCCTCATCACACTCTCGGAAGATGTCCTGAAGGGACGGACAGGTGAGGTCGGGCCGTGTGCATGGAGGGGCGGTGGAAATAATGAATTTCTTTAGAACAGGTAACCTACAAGGGCTGCCCAAGACCCAGGGCTGCCTGCCTGGGCCCACTCCCTGAGTGCCCAATCTCGTGACTGTAGGGGACGTCTGGCAAGGAGAGAGGGTTGGAACCCGAGTCAGTGTTCTGAAAGACCCACTCCCAAATGGGCCCTCCGCATGTACCCTTTAAGCTAGCTGATGCCTGGGTTATACTTGTTGTTAAATATTCTGACTGGCCAGTACACCAACACTTCAACAGACCTTGCCCTGTTGCCCCACATGAGCTCCTTACTCGCTGGGGAGCCTCCTTCTCCCTCTCCCTCTGCCTTCCTGCCTGCCACTCCCCCTGCTTGTGCTCTCTCCCTCACTGTTCAAATAAATAAATAAAATCTTAAAAAGAAAAAAGAAAGATGATCCTGTCCTGTCCTGTGTATGCGTGTGTCTAGTTGGGGGCTCCTGTTCTAGCATCATCCTTACTGATCCCATCGCTCTTGAGGACCTCCCTTTCTGCCCACCACAAACTACCCTTGCAATTTTTTTTTTTTACCGTCCATTTCTTTTCTTTTCTTTTTTTAAAAAGATTTATTTATTTATTTATTTATTTGACAGACAGAGATCACAAGTAGGCAGAGAGGCAGGCAGAGAGAGAAAGGAGGAAGCAGGCTCTTCGCGGAGCAGAGACCCCGATGCGGGGCTCAATCCCAGGACCCTGGGGTCATGACCCAAGCTGAAGGCAGAGGCTTTAACCCACTGAGCCACCCAGGCGCCCCTTACCGTCCATTTCTTGATTTTTTTCCACAAGATCTGGAACTCGGGAAGCCCCAGCTTGCCAGAGCCATCTTTCTGGGGGGTGGTCAAGGATGCCAGTGGAGGGAGAAAAGAGGGAAACTTGGGGCCGGGGAAGCAGAGGGGCTCTCTGAGTGGGGGGCAGTGAGACCAGGGGTTCCTGTGCGAGTACAAGCCAGAATGGGCTTCTTTTGCTACCTCAGAGCCGAATCCCCAGCAGGAAGGAGGACATGGATGGCCAGAGAGGGGCCACCTCTTGGGGGCCAAGCTTGGGGGTGGGGGTCAGGGTGGGAGACCGCTGGATGAGAAGATACATCCATGAGGTTGACCATACAGCGGCACACGTCTAGGCCGAAGCCCTCGGTCCTGAAGTTTCTGACTGTGAGGGAGGGAAGGGGCGGGAAGACATAAGGGGTGAGTGGGGCATTGCGGGGGATGCAGGAAGTGGTCGAGGTGAGGAGGAAGCTGCAGGGAAAAGTTGTGAGTGGGGGCTGGTAGTTGGAAGACTCACGTTTGGTGACCACCTTGTTGAGTAGCTTCTGTAGCTCATACATGCCTATCTCCTTGTCCTAGGAAGGGGGACAGTAAACCTCTACTCTGACACCTTTACCCTGGCCACCTCCTTTGGGCACCCAGCCCTCAGCCTCTCACCTCCCCTCCTGCCACTATCTCAAACAAACGTAGGAAGTCCGGATCTATGTCCTTCTCAGAGAATTTCTCCTGCAGGGAAAGGAGTGGGAAAGGAACCCATTCCAGAAAGTTCCTTCACACTCCCCAGGTGCTTCCTCTCCTCCCTCCACCCCACAGTATCCCCTCACCTCCTGGAGTAGCTCAGCATAGTTGGTTTCATCCAGTTCCCTGAGCAAAAGTGAAGGAAGCCTTGGAACTTATCCGGGATCAGGGAGACAGGGATTTTAGTGGGGGTGGTCATGAGGAGGTCATGTCATGTATCTGAAGCAATGTGGAACAGGCTGCATGGGATCCGGGTTCTGATTCTGGTTTGCTCCCAGCTGGGACTCCCCACTCGTTGTGCCTCAGTTTCCCTGACTTAAAATAGGGGTGGAGTTGGGGAGGACCCGATGACTGCTCCCTAAGGGTGACATCCTGGAGCTCTCGGGCAGGTGGTCTTGGAGCACCAAGGTAGGGCTCCTCACCAGGACTCGCTGTGCTTCTCTGTGAAGACCCGAAGCAGGAAGTCAGCATCCTTGTGGGGCTCAAAGGTGGAGGGAATGATGACATATTCCCCTGGAGGCAGCCGGAGATGGCTGGTCACCTCCCGTGAGTTAGTGAAGATCTCTGAGAAGCCGTGGTCCTGATACTTGATGAAGAAGTCCTTCTTCAAGCGAAAATCCTGGATGTTCTGAAACTATATGAGCCTTGGAGGTGGGTACAGGGCTGGCATGGGAAGGTAAGGAGAGGCGGACCCCAAAAGTGAAGCTGCACTGGGCACAGTTTGTGGGAAGCGTCGCCACAAACTGACCAGTCCTGGACACCACCCAACTGGCAGGCAATCCCAGGAAGATCCCCTGCCCCAACTCCCACCCGGGGCCCCAGGGCACTGGAATCCTAACCCAGTGGCCCCCAGCGGCCCTGAGAGCCCTTGGCTGAATTCCACCCTTTGCCAGAGGTGGGGCAGCGCCTGCCCAGAATCAAGCCCCACGTCTTCTGTACCTCCTTTGGGACCTAGGAAGTGAAGAGAGAGAGAGGTCAGAACCCAAGGATGGTGAAGGTGAAGGGGCTCAGGCCGGTAGAAGCCAGAGTGTGTGTGTGTGTGTGTGTGTGTGTGTGTGTGTGTTGGGGGAAGTTAAGGGCACTGGGACACTGGTGGTGGGGTGGGGCATGGGCTTGAATAGCTCAGAGTCCTAGTGTTAATACTGATAGTCCCTAAGTTTGGAAGAGCAAGGTACAGTTTATACAAAGGAAAAAGGAGAGCACTTTCCTAAACGCAAGCATTTTCCACGGAACACTCCTACCCTGCAGGAAGCTCATAGGTGATTACTGAAATTGAGCATTGAACATAGTTTGTAAAAAGGTGGGTTAGACGAAGATAAATGGGTTGTTCTCCTATAGGGATGACCAGAGCCTTTAACACGCTGATGTCCTATACATCTCTGGGTGGGAAGCAGAGAATATAGCCTTTCCCGAAGGACCACGTCTAACCTTGGAAATATCTGGAGGAATGTCTGATGTCTGTTAACCTGGTGGGTTCACAGCCTAGAAGGAGGGCAAGACTTGTGTCTACGTTTGTTCACTACTGCCCCAGTGGAGACTGGACTGGGGCCTGGCACATAGCGGGGGCTCCATAACTATTTGAACAAATGATCATTTATAGGGTTTTGCAAAGTAAGATTTTGGAAACATTGTGAGGGATTTGTCTTGGCTGCTGGAGTCAGTGCTCGGTGTGGGGTATCTGGGGGAGACTCGGGGATAGTGCAGAAAAGGCTCAGAGGGTCTGGGAATCAGGACACAGGCTCTGGGATGTCAGAACACAGCCTTGGGGGTGCAAACTTGGGCAAGAAACCTCATCCCTGACGCTCCATCTCCTTCCTCGTTCCTATTCGTAAGGCCTTTGGAAGGGTGTTGCAGGGGTGAGGCCAGGAGAAGGAGCAAGACTGGCGGGAAGACCTGCCGGAGTGCCCACCTCGTAGATGACAAAGCCAATGGTCTGCAGCTGGGCTCCCCGGGGCCGCGCCTGTCGCCAGTTCTTCTGCATAAGGGCCACCAGGCAGGTGCACACGGCTTTGTTGTCCTCCGGGTTGTCCTCGTCATCCTCCTCAGGGAGAGAGATCCTAAACTGGGGGTTGCTCCAGAATGTGTCTGTGAACGAAGCAGGTCAGCATGGCTCTGCCCTTCCTTGGGGTGGACGGGCTGCCCAATCCCGGGCCTGCCTCCTCGACAGAGCCAGGTGGGATCTGTGGGGCCCTGTGTCCACTCACACACCTGGGTGGTTCCTACAGCCCCCCGCGGTGCTGCCGCGCCGCCAGCTGCCCTCATAGAAGGTGGTGTGCCAACAGGTCTTGTAGTCCCCGGAGAGGGCATCGGGCGTCAGGTGACAGATCTCCAGCAGCGTGAAATTGTCCAGGAAGTCTTCGTAGGACATCCTGTTGGGGGGGGGGGGGGCGGGGGGGGAGGGGGGGGGCCTGCGGCATCTCCATACCCATAGGGCCCCCCTGCCCCCGCCCAAGGAGCCTCTCCATCAAAGGCACAGGTGGGAGGGTGGCAGAGGAAAGGAAGGAACAGGGCAGGGGGGCAGAAGGAAGCCCACCCCAAGCTGTACTGACCAGAACTCCCCGTCCTCCTTCCGGAGCAGGAGCTGGCTCTGGAGGTCCGGAGACACACTTTCCCACTCCCTGGCGCTGGAGCAGAGACAGGCAATGGAGGGACGGGGCAGGGCTAAGGAGGCATTTGGTCCCCCCCAAGGAATTCCCCCACCCCTGAATGCCTGCCTTGTGGGGCTCCTGAGTTGAATGGAGAATCTCCTGGGGAGGGCTTGGCCAGTTTGTCAGTGGTGCTGTCTCGCTCTGCCCCTCACCCCTGATGGTGCTGGTCAGGGACACTTACTTGTCACTCCAGGCTCCATTCCACTCGATCCGGCCCCAGGGATTCCGGACCCGAATCAGGGTTTCTGCCCGGCCTTGGTACCAGACCTGGTGGGAGGATGTGGCCCAAGGTCAAGGACCTCAGGCAGGAGAGATTCTCGGCCTTCTCCTGGGTCTCAGGGGAGGGTGTGCTTGGCAGACTCACATCCTGTATGCCGGTTACGGAATAAGCATGCCCTCTCACCAGCATCTTCTGGGTCAAGGTCTCCAACTCGCTATTGCTGGTGACCTGCAGAATAGAGAAGGAGAGGAAGTCAGGATCCGGTCAGAGGCACGGGGGCGCGCAAAGAGATGTGAGCATTCTTGGGGTTCAGTTTTTTAAAAGATTTTATTTGAGAGAGAGAGCATGAGCAGGGGGAGGGGCAGAGGAAGAGGGAGTAAGGAGCTGAGCAAGGAGCATGATGCAGGACTTGATCTCAAGACCCCAGGATGATGACCTGAGCCGAAGGCAGATTCTTAACTGACTGAGCCATCCAGGTGCCCTGGGATTCAGTTTTTGTTTTTGTTTTTTTAAATTAAACCGGGTATTTGCAAAGAATTGTAGATTCCCAAGCAGTTGTAAGAAATAATCCAGGGAGGGGCACCTGGCTGGCTCAGCCAGTATAGCAGGCGACTCTTGGTCTTGGGGTCATGAGTTCAAGCCCCGCACTGGGCAGGAAGCCTACCTTAAAAAAGAAGCAATCCAGAGAGATCCTGCGGATCCTGTATCCAGTCCCCCTGCAACCCCCCATGGTAACATTTGGCAAACCTATAGTACAATATCAACACCGGGATGCTGTATTACAATACCGTAATATGTCAGTCTTCTACAAATGTCCCCACTCTTGCCAGTAGTCCTTTGTGTATGCTCTGTGCAATTGTACCACGTGGGTAGTACCCTGCCCCACAAGCAGGGTCCCACTGCAGGACCATCGCAGCACCGGACATGTTCTCTGTGCTGCCCTCTTATGACCATGCCTGCCTCTTCTGGTTACGCTCCTCCCTGCCCTCTCACAATGGCTCATCTGTTCTCCGCTTCCATTTTATTTTTTTTTTTATTTTATTTTATATTTATTTATTTATTCAGTTTGGAGATAGAGAGCGTGTAAGTGCGGGGGCAGGGGGAGAGGAGTAGAGGGAGAGAATCTTCAAGTAGATCCCCGACCCCTGCTGAGCGTGAACCTGAGCCTGGCATATCCTAGGATCTGAGATCTTGACCTGAGCCAAAATCCAGAGTCAGACATTCAAATGATGGAGCCACGCAGGCGCCCTGTTCTCCATTTTAAAAACATTTTGTCATTTTGGGACACCTGGCTGGCTCAGTTGGTGGAGTGTGCGACTCTCGGCCTTGGGGTTCTGAGTTTGAACCCCATGTTGGGTGCAGAGATTAATTAAAAATAATATCTTTTAAAAAAATTTATTTATTTATTTGACAGAGAGAGACACAGTGAGAAAGGGAACACAGGCAGGGGGAGTGAGAGAGGGAGAAGCAGGCTTCCACCTGAGCAGGGAGCCTGACGTAGGGCTCCATCCCAGGGCACTGGGATCATGACCCAAGCTGAAAGCTTAATGACTGAGCCACCCAGGCACCCTCAAAAAAAATCTTAAAAGGGGTGCCTGGGTGGTTCAGTCGGTTAAATGTCTGACTCTTGATTTTGGTTCAGGTCATGATCTCAGGGTGGTGAGGTCGAGCCCAAGTCAGGCTCTGTGATGAGTGTGGAGCCCACTTGGGATTCTCTCTCTCTCTCTCTCTCTCTCTCTCTCTGTGTGTGTGTCTCTAAATAATAATAATAATAAAAAATAAAATCTTTAAAAAATTTTGTCATTTCAAGACCATTAGGGAAATGGAATCATACAGCGTGGAACTCTCTTAGATTTTTTCCATTCAGCATAATTCCCTTGGGATTCATCCACGTCGTTGCATGTATCAATATTTCATTTTCTTTTATTGCTGAGTCATGGCCTATGGCATAGGTGCACCACAGTTTAATGATTCACTCATCGAAGGACATCTAGACTGTTCCCAGTTTCTGACCACGATGAATAAAGCCACTGTGAACATTTGTGTGTGGAATTTTGTGTGGACATAAGTCTTCATTTCTCTGGGATAAAAGCCCAAGAATGCCAACTGTGGGGTCATACGGCTGCAGTCTGGGTTCATTTATTTATTTGAATAAATATTTGCTGGGCGTGTATAGTATGCCAAGCAGCACCCTGAGTCCTGGCATACAGCAGTGAATGAGACAAGTCACTGCCATCACTGACTGAAACAGCCAGGAGAAGATAGACTGTGAATAACGACATTGATAAGTAAGACCATGACAGAGCACCATAAATGTTGAGGAGAAAATAAAAACAAAGTAGAGAGCAAATGAGGTTAGGAGCAACTGATTTAGATTTGGAGGTGGAGAAGAGAAGCCAAAGAAGGGGCATTTGAACTGAAATGTAAATGAGAAGGAGCTAGTCATGCAGCTCCCTGTGGGAAAGACACTTCTAGGTGAAAGCCACAGCAGGTGCAAAGGCCCTGAGGCAGGACCAGGTATGGCTTACTTCGATGGAGCAGCCCATGAGGGAGGATCGCTCGATGGCCTTCCTGAGCATCCTCAGCAGGTTCCGAGGGGGCTTCTGGAGTTGGAGGCTATAGGTCACACCCCCTGTGAAGTCCTCAAAGCCCTCCACGGTGTTGCCCCCCGACAGCGCTTCATAAGACCCGTTCAGCCTGTGGGCACAGAGAGGGCACTTTTGTGCTCCCGGATAGAGAGGTCAGCTTGGGCATGGGAGGGTGAGGGGAGGGAAGGAAGGGATGCCCTGACCTCCGTTTGCTTTTTTCCCTGATTCCAGTTGCCCCCCTAGCTGCCAGCTCTCAGGGCAGGCTTGGAGGCATGCCCAGCTTGGGACACTCACTTGGCATATGCCTTCTCCAGCAGGGCGCTCCAGAACTCAGTGCGCTCGGCGGAATGCACAAACACCAACTTGCCATTCTTTGTGGGCAGCCGGTCGTCCACCACCACGTCCACCCACTGCCCAAACTGCCAAATCTGTGGGCAGCAAGGTGGACCTCAGTGGGGCTTAGGGCATCTGTCTGCCCAGGCCTTCCTCCAAGCACAGGCATGCACCCCCTCCCACACACCCCCACACCCCCACTCCCACTCCCCCCACGCACGCACCCACCCCCACATCCCCCACTCTCCCCCTGGGCGCGCGCGCGCGCGCGCACACGCACACGCCTTGTATAAAAACTGTGTTACACGAGCACCTCCTGGTGGCCAGGATCAGGGACACGCCTGAGGCAGACAGCCCACTCCCCAGAATGGCTGAGGGGTGTGGGAAAGGCAATGAAAAGCCTGAAGCTTGTCCCCAGCCTCATCTCCAGTTTCTGTCCGGGCCTCCCGAGAGACACCACCCGCATTTTGACCTTGGGCTTCAGGATTTCTGAGGTTTTAAAAAAACTCTTGTGATTCTCAGAAACATTTTTGTGATGTGAGGAATTTGTCCACATGTCCCTAAACTTAAGGAGCAGATTACAAAAATATGTGACCCTGACTGACTGTTGACTCCCAGTGTCATATACACAACACACATAAACACGCACACGCACACACACTTCTACCAAGAGAAAGAGACAGAGAGACAGAGAGGGAGAGAGAGAGAAGCAGGAGAAGGAGAGCCACAAACTGATAACAATTATTTTCTTTCTGGGCTTTAAAAAATCAGCTTACATGATTTCTTTAGTGAGCAGACATTTCTCTAATAATTAGACAAAAGCCCACCCTAATAAATGTCATTTTTCAAAAAGAAAAGAAAGGTAAATTCCAAGGACATATCATTCTTCTTCTTCCTCCCTCCCCTTTTTTTGTCTGTCTGTCTCTCTCACACACACACCACAAAACAACTCCGGCTTTCAAATCATCCTTCACCTGAAAATGGAAAATGCCAGCATAGTTTTTCCTGAAGCTCTGCCCCCTGGGTACCACACGATACAGCAGTTTGGGGCATGTGGTAAGGGAACCAATGGCAGCCAGCAGCCAGCAGTCCCCTGGAAAGACAGGAAGGGAGTTGCCTCTCAAGCCCTCCCATAGGTGAGTGTGCGTCCCAGAATCCAAACCCTAAAGGAGCAGGAACAGCCTCTGTGGGCCCTCCCCCACAGAGATGCGCCTCTTTTGACCTTCCCCCTGAGGAATGTTCAGGAAGAAATCTAGCAGGGAGAAACTGGGCTGAAGCGACAGGCTCTGGGGGCAGGGTGGCGGGGGGGGGGGGGGGGGGGTTGTGTGTGAGCCTTTTTACCTTTCCTATTAGGTAACAGATTCACAAATTAGAGCCACATACTTTGGTTTTTGGATTTGTGGAGGAGATATTTGGCCTTTGTCTTGCTCCTTACCCTGAGATCTGCTGTGGATATCTGCTTTGTGGAGACAGCCAGTATTCTCCCATCCCTTGAACAAATCCAGTCATCTTCCCCATACTACCTGCCTTCTACTTCTACTCTATGATTACATTGGTGTAATAATCAAGAAACCACTCCCTGATGTCACCCACTTAATACTGGAGACCCAAGCGGCTTAGTCTGTACCCCAGCTGGGTCCCTGGGGCTAGGCGTTGATGGGGGCTAGCGGCAGTATCCCTAGGCCAAGGTCATCTATTGAACTCTCTCTTCTGGGTACCTCAGACCTTGCTGGGTGGGGCTGTGGGCACGGTGGTACCCTGAGTGAGTGTTCCAGGCCAGGCTGAGGCCACGGGTACTGGGAAAGCATCTGTGATTACCAATGGCCTCCTGGCTGCCTGGGGTACCCTTGGTGAGGGGAGGCAGAAGGTGGGGAGGGAAGGTTATGGGTACTCCAATCCTCCATTGCCAAAAGGACACATAACCAGGAAGAAGCCGGTTCTCCTCCCACAGCCCGGTGAGCCATAGAGGCAGACATGGGGCCCAGGGTTTCCTTGGCTTCCTCCCTGCCCACAATCTGTCCTTTTCTCTGCCACAGATTCGACAGAACTCAGGCTCTGGTCTTATCCCTGGAGAAACAAGGAGAATTTGGAGGAACCCTTCCTGAGGGAGGAAGCTATCCCTTGGGGCTGTCATAGGAACCCGTGGGAGAGTGGGCTGAGGAAGCCAGTGCTCCTTTATTTGATACATCAGACTGAGGAACTCCTGGCACCTGCAGTGGCTTAAAAGTATGTCCACAAGCTCTTTGACAATCCTCCCCTCAGGAGGCGGAGCCTAATTCCTTCCCCTTGAGTGAGGAGTGAGGGTCAGATTTCCAGCTTGCTTCGAACAAATGGAATATGGCGGAGGTGACCTGAGTGTTCTCCTGAGAGGAGGCTGCAAAAGGCATGATGGTTTCCTCTCTGTTCTCTCTCGGGTCACTCTGTCTGGGGCAACAGCTAACAAGTTGTGCAGACACTCAGATGGTCCTAAAGGGAAGCCTGATATCTTGACTGTAGCCGCATGAGAAACTCTGAGCCAGACTCAACCTGGTATGTTCCTCACAAATTATGAGGTGATAGATGTTTGTCATTGCTTTAAATCACTAAGTCTGGGGGCAACTGATTGTTTAGCAATGGGTAACTAACAGACCACCCAGCTTACTCTCAGACCCAGACAGCAGCAGGAGGGACTGGAATTGCACCAGGGGGAACAGGGAGAATATTCCTGACAGTCTTGCTATCCTCTTCAGAGTGGAAGGGGAAGAGAGATCATCTGAATCTAGGGGTCCCAGCTCCCCAGCCTCAAAAGACACCCTGGCACACCCACCTACCTCAGCCATCTTCCTCATTTCACCCCTTCCTTCCACACTAGTTTTCTTGCTCCCCACTCACCAAGTACGCCTTGGCACACATCTGTTGGACTGAGCCCGTTCACGATGAAGTGAGGAGTGCTTGTGATTTGCTGTGGTGAAGGAATAAAGATTTTAGGGGGTCCAGGACAACCCCTCCCAACCTCCCTCTCACCATTCCTGGGGAACGACGTCCACCTCCAAGTTCTAGGGGAAAACATGGCACCTGAGGGGGAAGGCCGCAGGACCAGCTTGGCAGAGTTGTAGGACGTGACAGCAAAGGTTAGTGAGTGACTTTCCCAGGGGTTCTCTGAGAGGTTTGGCTTAAGCATAGCCAGAACTGTCCCCAGGCCTGATCCAGGGTCAGGATAGGAGGTCGGGGGACCAGAAATATCGAAGTGATGGGGGGGGTCGTGACAAACAGCCTTCCCACTCTGACGAGCAGTCCCTGCCTCCCCTCCCAGTACCCACACAAGGCCGCTGCCAGGAGATGTTCTGCACATTTTTGGAGCTGGGGCCCAGATCGTTGAAGCCCAAGGAACTGGGTTCGGCGGGGAAAAAGGAGTCCTCGAACAGTTCCCCCCTCCTCAGACAGGCTGCTTGCAGGTCCTCATAATTCTGGTTGTTGAAGTTCTCGGCATTGTGGTGTTGGCCTACGCCCTTGGCCCTGAGCCGGTTCTGGCTTATGTGGGCCGCCATTCCTTGATCCGTGAAAATGGACTCTGGTTCACAATGAAAAGACAGTTAGCTCAGTTCAAAAATGGACAAGGGGTCTGGATAGATAGTTTCTCTGAAGAAGATATAAAAAAATGCTTGACACCGTTAGTCGCCAGGCGAAATACAAACGTATCACAATGTTCCTCCACTTTGCACCCTCTAGGATGCCTGTGATAAAAAGGACTGATAATAATGACAGTCGGCGAGGGTGTAGAGAAACTGGAACCTTCATCCATTGCTGGTGGGAATATAAAAGGGTGAAGCCATTTTGAAAAATAGCCTGGCCATCCCTCAAATAGTTAAACATAGGATCCTGACCCCAGGACCCAGCGATTCCTCCTCTAGGTATATACCCAAGAGAAAGGAGAATGTATGTCCCTATAAAACACTTGTACACAGATGGTTGTGGCATTATTCGCAAGAGCCAAAAAGCAGGAAGGAGACCCCAAGCGTCCATCAGTTGATAAATGCCCCAGTAAGACGAGAAACACACATACAACGGAATATCATTCATACAAGGATATCATTCAAAAAGAAATGAGTTGCTGGGGCACCTGGGGGGCTCAGTCAGTTAGGGTCCGCCTCTTGATTTTGGCTCAGGTCATGGTCTCAAGTCATGAGGGCTCTGCACTGAGCGTGGAGCCTGCTTGAGCTTCTCTCCTCCTTCTCCCTCTGCCCCTCACCCCACTTGCGTGTGTGTGCGTGTGTGCATGTGTGCGCACGCACGTTCTCTCTCTCAAAAAGAAGAAAAGATCTGAAGTACTGATCTGCGCTACAACATACATGAATCTCAGAAACATGGTGCTAAGTGACAGAAGGCAGTGACAAAGAACCACATACTACATGATTCCATTTATGTAAACTGCTCCAAATAGGCCAGTCTATATAGAGACAGAGAGTAGTGGAAGGATGGGGTCTGAGTTAAACAGAACCCAGTTGGTGCCGCAGTATGGGAGGCATCCAGAGTGGGGAAAAGAAGGGGCAGCTCCAGGGAGGGGCGGGAGGGTTCTAGGCTGTCTAGTGGGGAGACCCAGATTGAGTCCACAGAGGGCTGAGTTCCACAGAGGCAAGAGCAGGGGGTCTCCGTGATTCACCGTCCCTCAAATTGGCAGACAAGGAGAAGAGTTGCACTAGCAAAGCTAACAGCACTGGGCGCCTGCTCTGTGCAAGGCACACCAGCCCCCAGAAAGATCCATGGAATATTTTCAGTGACCGAAAGAGGAAGCAGGGGCCCGGAGGTCAAGGAGCATGCCCAAGGTCACGGGTGAGGGTTGTGCGTGGGATGCAGTCTGAGTGCAGACCCCAGACGAGGCCTGTGACCTTTCCCTGACAATCCCTCTGGAGGGAGGCGCCTCTCCTCCCCGGGAAGTCCCGTGGACTACCACCATCTTCCCGTCTTCATCCACTAAGGGGATTATGAGCCGGTGGCAAAACTTCTCTGATGCCCCTTGACTCTTCCCACGACCCCAAACAAGCACACCCGTTCTCCAGTCCCACAGCGGTGTCTCCTGGGGACTTCCCTAGGTCCAGGAATGCCCCTGTGGTCTCTCATTGTGATCCTGACAAACCCAAACCAGGCTGCCACCGAGAGGCCCAGCAACTTCGAGCTCAGGCAGCCGTTTTTCCACTGCCCTGAACCACTTCTGCCTCAGTGCCTCTGCCTGGAATCATTTCTGCTTCCACGCACACATCTTGTCCACTGGGAAAGTCCTGCGGTGCCTTGTAGGCCCTGATCAATGCCACCTCCTCGGGGAAGCCCTCCCCTAATCTACCCACACAGAGTTTGGGGCTGCCCTCGCATCTAGCACTTTCCTTTCTTGGGACACCCATCGCTACCGGCTCTGAGTTGGCTTGTCTGTGACCCCCCAAGGTGGAGGAGGGGGCTCCTCTGTCCACCACTGGGTTCCCTCTGTCTCACATAGTACCTGGCCCCAGCAGGGGCGCAGACATACTTTCAGTGGATGGATGAATGAATGAATGAATGGGTGGATGCCTTGCATTGCACTCTAGTGATTTTTCATCTGTGTTTGCAAGTCTGTTTTCTCTCTCCTGCCCTGCCCCCTACTCCCTGTCCTGCTCTGGTCCACAATGGAGTAGACGTTGGCAGACATATATTTATTATTACTTATTTATTTGTCTCCCTTCCTGGAATGAAAGCTTGTGAGGACAGGGATTTCTGTTTGCTGCTGCACCGAGCACGTAGGAGGTACTCAGTAGATGTTTTAAATGACGTGCCCCAGCACTCCTAGAAGGGAGGAGGGTCATGCATGTCAATTTCTCCCTGTGAAGGGATAGATGGGTTCCTCCCTGGGACTCTCCATTCCATTAGGGAGAGTCTCCTATCCCCCCAGATTCCCGGTAAATGGTGTGCTCTACAGACCTCAACCCAGCACTGCCCAGAGGCCACGACTGGGCTGGGGACCAAAAAGAGCTCACCTCAGCCCAGGGAAGCCGGAGCATTGGTGTAGGCCATGAGCAAAGGCCCTGGCCCCCGCATAAAGGCTCCTCGGGGGTCCACTTGGGGTCCCTGGGGCCTGTAGACTCCTGGTCTCCACTGAGAAAAGTTCACTGGCCTTCAGGATTAGGGTGAGTTTGCTGGACGGACTCGGGATCCTGCCCTTTGCTTCTTCTACGGAGCCTATGGTTTGTGATGAGACGATAATAGGAGTCTCCCCCAGTTGTAGAAGGGACTAGCACTTACAGAGCTGTTATAAAAATACTAGGACTGCCTGCAAAACCTGGTTCTAAATTATTTCCATGCATTAACTCCGGGAAGCCCCATGGCAACAACCCCAAGGGCTGGGTTTGTTATTGCTCTGTCTCCCTGCTGGGGAGGGAAGAACCAAGGCCCTGAGAAGTTGAACTTGTTCAAGGCTGCACGCCTGGTGCAACAGTCAGGCAGGGGCAGACCTAGGCAGGCTGCTCCGAGCTCCTACCCGTCACTCGTGGCCTCACCAGGAGGGAGCCACGGTGCAGGGGCCGAGGCTGGACTGGAAGGGATGGGGGGTCCCTCCCTTCCTCCTAGGTCTTTGTTCAGTCCCTTCCTCTCCCTCAGGCTGGATAAGGTCTTGGAAAAGGGGTCTGGAAGGCAGCTGATTCCTCTTTAGCAGAGCTGGTGCCCTGGGCTGCGCTGAACCGGGGTGAGTAGCTGTGTGACCACGGGCGAGTTGCATTATGTCTCGGAGCCTTGATTTCCTCATCTGCATACAGGGGCCGCTGTGTTCTACCATGAAGGGTGTTTCCGGATGACATGATGCAAGCTACGTGAACTGGCCTTCAGCAGGTGCTCAGAAAATTTGGGTTGCCTTTCCCCCAGGGACCTGGCTGGGGAACTAGTATTTCTTGAGTTCCTACTGGCATCATACAGCAGCCCCCCTCCCTCCTAGGACTCAGTGATCCTAAGGAGGGAGGAACGTGTTGCGATCATCAGTGTGTGTCTGTCTCGGCGTGAGCTCCTTAGAGCAAACCATAACTCATTGCGTCCACCTTTGAGGAGCATTTATTCTGCGCTGGGCCCTGAGGAGTCAGAAGTGAACACTCACTCACGGGGAGCTCTGAGAGGACCCTCCCAGACTATCCCCCTTCATGGTTAGCTTCACAGCAGGCTGTAGAGGCAAGGAGGAGGGGCCGGGGAGAGAGGCCACTCAGATGGGTGGGATAACTGGGAGGTTCTTGGTGGGGAGTGATGGCCCCCTTTTTTCTGAAGGGCCCCTGAGGGTGGGGTGCACCAGAAATTCCTGGTTCTGGAAGAGTCAGGGTTGGGGGCAAGGAAGGGGTTGTGTGCAGCTGGAATCTGGGCGTTCTTCCCCTTTCCTCTCCCTTTCGTCCCACCCTCTCTCTCCCCATCCAGGCCCTCTGGCTTTCTCTTAGAAATAGTAGAGGAGCTCTTTCCCCATTCCCTCAGGCTGGGGGCGAAAATGAATAAAGGGGTGTGTTGGGCAAAGGGGAATAAGTGACTCATGTCTTTGCTCAAAGAACAGGGAGTACCTGGGTGGCTCAGGCGTTAAGCGGCTGCCTTGGGCTCAGGTCATGATCCCAGGGTCCTGGGATCGAGCCCCACATCGGGCTCCCTGCTTGGCGGGAAGCCTACTTCTCCCTCTCCCATTCCCCCTGCTTGTGTTACCTCTCTTGCTGTGTCTCTCTCTGTCAAATAAATAAAAATCTTAAAAAAAAAAAAAAAAAGAACAGGGGAAGACTTGGAAAGAGGCCTGTGGGGGACAAACCTTGGAGCCCCCTTCAGGTGAAGCGGGTCCAGAGAGGCTCACTGCAGAACATCCCAGAAGGGGGATGAGGATCAGAACTGGTCTTGTTTCATCACCTGGTCCTTACCCCGTGTTGCCAGCAGGGAAGGGATGACTGTCCCACGTGACCTAGGCCTACCCCAGGGCCCACCCGGAGGCGTTAGGGCTAGAGATCCCCAACCTGGGAGATCACACCTCCAGCGAATGAACATTCGGCATTGTCTAGAGACATATTTGGTTGGCATAACCGGGGAAGGGGGGTGCTCCTGCATCGGGTGGGTAGATGCTGGCGAGGCCGCTACCATGCTCAGGACAGCCCCATGACAGAGTTATACCGCCCCAAATGCCAGGTGCCCAGGTTGAGAGACCTAGGTTAAGTGAGGGGCCCAAGGGCATCCACATAGTGAGATGAACCACTCTGTGGTCTTCCACCACCGGGGCCGCCTCAGGGAGGCCTCTGACTTGGCTGCCTCTGGGAGTGACTGTGCCGGCCTCTGCTCAGGGTCCGGAAGGACCCCGGAGGGGCTGGTGTCCAAGAAAACTGGAGAACCTCAGAGGGCAGACCAAGGCTGTGAAGGTTAAATCTCAGCTTCCTCATCCCTCTGGAGCCCTCCGTCCCCTGGTCACCACTGACCCCAAGGAGTCATTTCTCACTGTCCTGCCTCCAAACTCTGCCTCTGCTGGCTAGGCCTGAACGCGCTGCTCAGCTGGCTGATGGGGGGAGGGGAGGCACGTGTGTGCATGTGTGCC